TCATTGGCACCGTAAATATCTTTTGCTGTATAATCTTTAATGATATCTGCTGACACTTCAGGAATATCTGTTTCCCTTGCAGCTTTTTCACATGCTAATTTTTTGAAGACAAGTCCATGACGGTTTTTGAATCTTGAGATCCAGCCATTAGATGCTTTAAAATCAGTAATGTTAATATCAGAAGCTATTTGTTTTGCTTTTTCTCTTACAATTGACCCATCAACTGGTATGTTGTATAACTGCAGCTGTTGATACCAGTCATATAATATGTTTTCAAGTTCGGCATACTTGGATTCTTTATTAGTTTTGCGTTTCGTAGATAAATTTCCAAGTTTTTCATACTGTTTCTTTACCATTTCTTTTTTTGCCAAGATAGAGTTTAATGTAGAAGGTGCAAGATTAAGTCTTTTGGCAAGATCCACTCTTTTTTCATGAGGATTCTTTTCCGCTTCCTGAATAATAAGCAATCTTTCTTGAACAGTGCGTACATTTTTTACCTTATATGACATCATCTTATGTGCAGTGCAAAGCTTCTTCAACAACAAATTTAATCCATTGCATTTACTAGAAATATACTGTTATTACAGGTAAGAGGAAATATTCCAGTTCAATAGTATGAAATCACAGTAACTACAGTGCTAGTTTCTAACTAGCACACCTTTTTCAAGAAAGCTCCATACGGGTCAACACACCTGAGGTATAGTTTATTATGCGTAATAACTAATTTATTAAATAAGTACGATTATCATACACGAATGATGTAATTAATTACTATCTCTGAGATAAAATAGAGGCTATCTGGAAATCTCCAGATAATACGTTCGGAATGTTTACACATTAAAGTCCAAAATTACGGAATATCAACACGGCTGGAACCGATAATCAGGGATTTCTCCAATGGCGGCGAGTAATGCGGGTATTTCCTCCCCTTTAGGAAGAAACTTTACAAAATAAGTGGCGCATTGGTGCTGCCATCTATTGGCTTTATTTTATACTAAACTTTTAAGTCTGTAAGGTCTTGGAGATTCTAGTAGAATAAAATCTTTGATTATCCGATTTAACAAACTTTTATTGATATTAAATATTATTTTATTTATAATTAGGATTTTTACCAATAAAATTAGTGTTAACTCAAATGATTGAAATAAATTCAAGTAATTTTTTCAATTACTTGAGTAAGAATTTTATGTACAAATTAAAGTCATTTTTACATCTAACTCTGTAAAGAACAATAAATTTCAGAATCAAATGCAAGTGTAAATACCTTCACAGAAAATAAAACAACTGCTTAAGATAAAAAAAAATTCATTCTACCACAATTATATGAGAGATTATATATGTCACAGAAAGTAAGAGGATAAAAAAATTAAAAGCTTAAATTCAAAATATTATAATTTTCATTACTGCTGATGTTATGCGTTAATTTTATGTCACAGCTCCATTTAAAAATTCATTTTAGAATGGAGCTGTGACATAAAATCAACGCATATTTGTTTTGCAATTAATGCAGTATCATGCTTGATATCAATGATTTAGAATATGATGACAAGCTATTACAAAAGTACAGGTTTACAGAATTTAAAAAAAAAAGGGGGGGATGATAAATTCATTCCTTTTTTTCTTCTGGATAACAATAAAAATGATACATGAGAATGTTAAATGTCAATAACTGTCAAGAAGCAAAAGTGGTAGAATTAAATATCTCTCATACACATACGACCAATATAACTGCAGACACTTTTTTTTTTAAATCTGCTTTAATAATTTTTTGCCATGAAAATATTTAATAAATAACTTTGAAAATTTTACAAATACACAAGTTTCATAATAACTATAATACTATCTTCTTGTTATTTAGCATAAATAACACACTTTTCTCAAGAAAATATTTCAAATTCGACATGATATATATATAGCACGAAGTCTGAAATCTAGAGGTCCAATATCCGGAATGATCTACTGTCTAGACCTCCGGACCACCGACCAAAATAAGCAAATAAAAATAAACAAACAAAATAATAAAAATATCTCCCCTTGCAAAATCTAGGAATGGAGAATATAATAACGGCAAGAAGCAGGTGTGCCGCAAATGGGATTTTTCCACAGACTAATTGAGATTCTTGCAAGTTACTTTTAAACATGTACCAGGTTGGGAGTCGCACCATAACCAATAATAATGCGTTGGTTGACTTAGCTTTCTTGTTGGCCAACAGCCCTTTCGCCCTTTGAGTGATTGTAAGGAGAGGACACGGTCGGCGCTATGCATTTTGCTGCCGGGTACAGTCTCTATGAGTCCTAAATTTTGCTGCCCGGTTTGAGCCACTGATCTGGCTTCCGTCCCGGGTATAACGGGTATACCTATACGCAATTGGATGCCAACCCCGCGGATATTTATTGTACTATATAAAAGATGTACATGGGTACGGTTACAGGTTACAGGGCCCTTGATGTCTTGGTTACATGTTATTGTCGACAGAGAATAAGGGATTATTAATATAAGAGACACATAGATTATACAATAATTTGAAGCTATTAAGACTGTACATTTGAAGCTATTAGGACTGTACATGAGCTATTTTTGCATGAAGATGTTTGAGTGTGAATATCAATGTGTCAGTTGCATGCAATACCCACCATTGGTGCCCAAATTCCGACGACCTCAGACTTTGTATTTAAATTAAATTATTTTTTCCATTTAAAAGATTATTTGAAATTTATTACTTATGAATTTCAATTTTTGTTTTTGTGAAAAATTGGTTCTAAATTTGGTACTTCTTACTATGTATTTACTGATCATTTTTCAGCAGCTTAATGAGCCAAAATACTAGGCATGATAATATTATGTTTTTTAAAAAAAATCGTCTTGTAATTATATATATATATAAACTTTCTGCGCATGCGTCAACGCATGCGAATAGTACCTTTACACATGCGCATATGCGTCTACGCATGCGCATAATACGTTTACGCATGCGCGTTTAATGTATAATGGATGGTATAAGCTAAGCTAAAACTATCTAATTATCTATTTCAGTTAATGTTGCAGATTGCGTTGTTCCTTAATCTTCTAATTGGATCCGGCTTATTATTTGCAAACTGTTAGAGCAATTTTATAAAAGTAAGCTTGAACTTTCGACTATGTCAAAAAGAATTTCCGATTCTGGAGCTACCAAAGCATCTACAAAGCGAAAACATGTTTCGATGTCTATCAAACAAAAAGTGGAATTGCTGCAAAAAATGGATAAAGGCATATCCTTTGATTCTCTAATCATTCCGAAATATGTTTATCAATTTCACGCTGCTCTGTGGGGGGGGGGGACGTAACGGCGCGCAATGAAGTGGAAGCTGATCTGTCAGCACTATCCTTATCTTCAGAGCAGATGTTTTTATTTTATTCGGCTTATCATTCCTTACTAAATATAGTATTTCATCTCGATGTACTCCGCCTTTGATATGATTTAAATCAAATTCCTCGTCATTATAAATATCACGAATACACATCAAATAGTTTTCTGGTTGCAATTTTCTAATTTCGACTACGCGTAATGTATGCTTTACGCATGAGCGCGTTGAAAGAAATGTTTAATAAAATAAACAAATAAATATTAAGCTTTTTTTTTGTAAATTTTGATACCCTTTAGATCATAATTGCTCTTTATTTCATAAATTACGGTTTCATATTTTTAATTTTATAATTTCTGCATGCCATCTTACCATATTTAAACTGATGATCTATAATCCGGAAAAACCGATAATCCGGAATCGCCGAAGTCCCGACGAGTCTGGATTAAAGACTTTCGACTGAATATATATATATATAATATATATAATTCAAATTAGTGAAATGGAAATACTCCTATCAAAAGCGCAAATTAGGCCAAAGCTAGGAGAATTTCAATTTTAAGTTAATATCTATCCCAGTCTACAAAGAAACTGAACTATCAATTCAAAAAAGTACAAAAAATAAATTCAAAATAAATAATTTTGAAAAAGAACTAACATTTGTAAAAGAAAAACAAAAAGGTGAAGAAGGGAAGTAAAAAGAAAAATTCTCTGCCAAGCATTAGCTAATAGTAGCTGTAAAGCAAATTTAATGAAAATTTGAGAATTAAAGAAAAAAGAACAATCGAAAAGCCAGTAGTGAGACAATAGCGACTCATCGGGGGGGGGGGGAATTAGCTTATCTCACGCTCTCCCTAATCGCTCAGACATCGTGTTACGTCCTTGTCGTACATAGAAGGATGCGTATAATTTTTACTTCCATTCTTCACTTCTTCCTCTTTTTATTTATTTATTTATGTATTTTTTAATTTAATTCTTTCTCAAAATTATTTATTTTCAGTTTATTTTTGTATTTTTTGGAATTGATACTTCAATTGCTTTGTAGATTGGAACTAATGTTGACTTCAAATTGAAATTCCTAGTTTTGGTTTAATTTGCACTTTTTATAGGAGTATTTCCTTTTCATTATTTTGATTATTATTGAAATCATTGCAGCAAAGGCGCCGCATTTAAAAAATAGTTCTACTTTCCATTTTATTTACGTTATGTTATGTATATATATATGTGCCTCGCGAAAAGTTATTTAATAGGATTTGGTAATAAGCCGAAGTTAACATAATAAATACATTACCTACTTTAAACAGCACATCAGAAAGAAAAAATGAAATTCTGAGGTATGAGGTCTTTTTTTTTTTTTTTTTTTTTTAGATTAACAAAAAGTTTAGGCACAATGTGAAAAATAGATTGTACTTCTTTCTTTATGAATTAACAGAACATGACTAACAGTAATAGCATTCGATAAGATTCAAATAACTTATTAAACAGTAACAACAAAAATGAGGCTAAAACTTAATTCTGCTTACAAGGCTGATATACTCTTTTTATATTTGATAAGTAGGAATTTCTTTTCTGTGTCACATAAAAAATGGCTAATAAAGTATTGGTTTCCGAAAGTTACAATATTCCAATGTGTTGAGTTTTAAAATGATTAATCTTACTTCTTGTAACTGGTTTCCGCTCTTTTTTGTAGATAAATTCAAATGTCGATCTTGAGACTGAAAAAATTTAGCTGTTTCTTTGTCAAATTTCTTTTTCCTCTCCTACAGAAGCAAAGGAAAAAAAAAATCTTTTAACATCATTTCATAATACAATTTCAAAGAAATATCCTTACGTATAAAGAAATCTTCAAATTCAATATCCTTACGTATAAAGAAATCTTGGAATGTAAAATGTATAAAAGTAATACCTTTGCTCCTCCAATATATTCTTTCCTAAAATTTTCAATAGGGTCGATAAATGCAGCTTGAGCTTGTTCTAACTGCAAGACAGGAAAAAATTAATGATTCATGATATTGCAGTGCATGAGCATCGGGAATATAACTGTTTTTCAACATTAATCGAAATTAACAAATGCATGAGTAACTACAGTTTAGTTAGCTAACTCCCCCAAATAAATGATTAATTTCACATTACTCAAAAGAAATATTAAACGCCAAATAAATTACTTTAATTTCGATAAATAACAATTGCAGTAACAAAAAGAATCAATTTCTACAACAAAAAGCTAATTGTATTTAAAAGGAAAGCTAACATTCGTTCACAAAAGAAATTCATACATATATTCATACATATATTATTAATTCAGCTTTGCCTTCGTGATAGAGCCCTCGAACGACGATACATTACTAGGAGACCATTTTACGTACGGTAACAAAATGTGGACAAATTTCAGTTATTTTATTATAATTTTCAAAAAATGAATTTATAATTGAGAGGTTTCGTAAAGCGGGAATTCGAGAAGACAGTGCCAGTATTAGTGAGATATGCACAATAGTGCCCAGTCAAAAGTGAGTGCGGTCAATTTAACGCAGGTTTGGCTAGTGTTAGCCGAGGCAAAGAGTTCCCACTAAAAGACGTCGATCCTTTTTTGGAGATAATACCTGAAGCGTTATACCGAAGCACAACTATATAAGTAAGCTTTTCGTCGTCTGATTTGCTAATTAGAATAACAAATAAAAACCTTATTTTAACAATGGTGCCCAAAAATAATGATCCCGACATCTTTACAAATACTCGTTTCACATTAAAATCTAATCTTATTCCGGAACATCGTTGTGCAAACTTTACTTTTGGATAACAGTGGCTGACTTGTATAAAAGTACCGGCACCCTTCTAATAAGGCACCGCTATAGAAACTTGTGAATTATTGGATAACAAGTGATAACTCCTAAAGAGGAATTTTCAAATATTAATTTAATTCTCCAACATAATATAACCTGATAAAAGCCCCAAGATGTACCGTCCTGTCTTTATAGTGGTCTAATAATGAATAAGTGTTATTTGATAAACCTTGCTAAAAAACAGTTTTTAACACATCTTGCACAGTCTGAATAATAATAATAATAATAAAGTTTTTACAAAATAAGCTTTTATTTAAAACTTAATAATTAATGAACTAAAAGAAAAAACTTAATTTATCATATAGTCTAATGGGAACAAGGGGTTAAAACATTATCTTTACAAAATTCAAGGCGACGTTTCCTTCAGTTGAAAAATATATGATCATATTCTTACATATTCTCTCATAGCAAGTAAAGTTTCATCATGCTTAGATAACACAATGCCGTAAAATGCATAAAATCAGAGAACTGTTTTTCAAAAACTAAATGATATATAATGAAAAATTTAATTTAGAAAAATTTAACTAAATTTAACTAAATTTTTCAATTTTTTAAAATTAAATTAATTTAAAAATTTAATTTAACTAAATTTTAAATTAACTAAATTAAACTAAGTAAATCATTAAATTTTTGATTAAAATTGCTAACGCCAATATTATATTGCAAAGAATGAACTAAAATAAATGTGAATTTCAGAGCAAAAAAACAAATACTTTGCAACATTTCTCCTTCAATAATTTTTGCACGAAATTTCTCTCTTCTAATTCTCCCCCTTTTTTTCTTTTCATTTTTAAAAGATGATTTAAAAGAGATTTCATTAACACGGTGTCAAAGCCACGAATATGTATATCTTCCGTCTTCACCGGAATGTACATACACTGAAGCTTTCAAAAAACTGGTACAGCATTCTTCATAAGAACGCAGAACCGCAGAAAAATTAGATTCTCTCATAATGTGGGAAGGCAGCGAACACAATACTTCCGTAAAACAGTCCATAATTTTGCTGTATTTTCAGAGATGCAGGAATTCCGTGTTCCGCAGCGTACTGCAAGATATCCCACAAATATTCGATACCGTTGAGATACTTAGGTAGTAATGGCAAGACCTTAAATTCAAATGAATGTCTCTAATCAAAATTTGGCATCTCTAGAGTAGTATGCTATGCATTGCCCTGTTAACAGAAGCCAAACTGATGAAAATCAATGCAAGCATATGGAGAATGTATCTCATCAGAAAGATATCCTATATTATAGCATTCATGTGTCAGATGTACCAAGGTACCCAAAAAGCTAACCAAAATAACTTCAATAACTAAGTTATGGAGGCACCAAAACCCATAGTTTCCTATTAATATGTAGGATCCATACATTTATCACATATATTCTTTGTTTCCCCAAGTATAGATCTTTCTGCCAGCCGGAAATATGTGAAAATGCGATTGGTCACAGCAGATTATTTAGCTCTGTATCAAGCAGTTATCTAAAATGCTCTAGTTGCATGTCTGCTATTAAAGCTTTATAACGAAAAGAACGTCTACAGACCTTATGCTGATGTTTATTGAGTTTTAGTACTGAATTCCGAGGTTATTTGAGGCAATGTTGCATCTCTGTGACTTGAAGAGATCTTTCCAACTGGCCTTACTCTTGCTTGAAGGTCGAAGTTTTGCCCAAAATCTGGCAGTCATGGCACATTCTTGAAATGATTCTACGTGCTCTAAAACGCATAACCCACCTTGCGAGTTCCAATTATCAGATAGCATTTAATTACTTAAATAATAAAAAAAAAACTTGCTGTTTTCATTATGGAAAAAACTAGCGAGACGCATAGGAAACGCTATTATGTGTTTCTAGATAGTTTCATACATATCAGTTCTTCTGATACTTCGGTGTATTTTTTAGGTTTCTTGTCAAATTTTTTACACGCTAAAAGGGACGTAAAAGATTTACGTAGGAATAGTAATACAATTTTTCTCAAAACAAAATATATATCCAACTCTTAATGAATTTTTCCGGAAACAATGATTTTTTCTAGTTGCGATTTTGGCCTACTTTTGACGATTTGCATCATTTTTGAATACATACAGCTATTGTTTTAGGCATTTCAACAATAATCTTCATAAAAATGCAATTTCAACATAATATAAGCAGAATTTGGATAAAAATTACACATACCATTCTATCACGTTCATCTTCTATGGCATTGAGCAAATTACTGAATTCTTTCAAAGCTCCATCTAAAGAAGGGAAAAAGAATGGAGTATAATTTCTCACTTTTTGAACATACGACAACACAAAAATCTACACTTCTTAAATTCAGGATCAAGTTGCATCATTATAGATAATGACAAGGGCAGCACATTATATAAACATAATTCTTATACTACATAAAAAATGTGAAAGCATGTTCTTAAAAGCAGATTTGACGGACTGATTCGAAATTTTGAACATAAGTAAGCAAGGGGTTGGTTTGTTCCCCTTGAAAAGTCAACCAACTTCCGGACAATGACGATAATTACTTGGTTTGTTAATTACTAAATTAAAAGTTTCCATTTCTTAAATTTAAATAAAGTTTCCATTTTCAATTTATTCATGATTCAATTTGATGTTTCATTTAAGAAAAATTTCAAGATTCATTTTTAACTATGCTTGTAAGTTACGTTGTAGAGACATTAGGACTTTTTGGAGGCCGGAGAGATGAAAAATTAGCAACGACTTCACCGGGAATCGAACCGCAGACCTCTCAATTACGCGCTGAGCGTGCAAACCACTACACCACGAAGGTTCGCTAAGATGGCTAAGAATACCTTATACACTCCCCCTTTTAAAGAGCGACTGGGGTTGAAAGTACACAGAAAAGTTCACATGCTTTTCACAGACAACCAGCTGCTTATTATTACAACGAACCTCTCGCTACCTGCAACTAGAAATTCAAAATACTGCATCTTCATATACAAACCTCACCTTCGTCCGAATGCGTTTTTTGTACGTTTTCAAATGTTGCCAACCAAATGTCACCGCCATGTGTTATTTTTAATGCGAAGAAAACGATATTTAAAAATAAAGCTAAAATAAAAGACAATGTTAACCGTGGACGCCGTTCTCAGTATTATCTCGGTCAAACGAGAAATGAGTGTGTTTTAAAATAATTGGTCAGAGAAGGGTAATCATAAAAATTATAAAGAATTCTAAGAATAATTTGATTATATTTGCTGTAAACTGACTTTTCTGGTACTATCCTAGTAATGATTCCGGCAGCAAAGCTTGTGGCATGTGAATATAGAAAGCACACATAACCATGGCATGGAGTGTATTCTATATTTCAAAGTTATGATTTTGCAGACTCGGAAAAATTTGAAAAAATCCGCCTCAGATAAAGGAAGATTATAATACCTTTTATAAATCACATTTTTTTTATACAAATACAAATAAAACTGTTAGACTTAGAAATTCAGAAATTCAGCCGACTCAATTTCTATTTCTTCCAAAATAAAAATAAAATTTGCTTTAATTTTTATTTACATTTAATCTCAGTGTTTTACGTTTCATTCTTTTTTTTCATACTTCGAAACTTAAATTTTCATAAGTTCAAGCTTACTTAATATTCTCTCTCTTTCTTAATTTAATAATCATAAAATGACAGGGAAAATCTGAAATCCTACTCTATTGGTTGTCTCTCGAACCCCGCAGTATTAAATTTCAAATTATTCCAGAGCTTTTTCATTTGCAATCTTGATGTTAGTTGACAGGAGAAAAGACTGACATTTATATTTTCCCTGGAGATATTAAATATCAACTAAATATTTTGAATCCTTTTTTAAGTTAAAAAAATTATTTATTTATTAACGTTATTTTCCTTTTCTTCTCAGAATTGAGTACTTGTAAAGAAGATAGGAACACAGGCAAAAAATAAAACTTCGACTTAAATTCGCAAATTTAAAACGTTTCTTGAATGTAAAATGAAAGTCTTAAACTGAAAATTAAAAAGGCCTGAGATACTTGTCTCCATACCTTTCAGACTACAGAAAACAGGACTGATTGATGACGGTCGGATTCTTATTTTATAAATAAATAAATAAATAGAGGAAATATTGATTAGATTTGAGATTATTTAGTTTAGGCAAATAATACAAGGACTATTTGCTTAAGCAGAATCCGAATTTTGACGGACAGTACACAATTAGATTGAAATCCCAAAATTCTGTACGCTTTCTCCTACCATCACCATTTCCACAGAAATTTCAGATAGATGGATTTGCGGGCTACAGCAATTTAATAATGAGAATCTCCTTAAAGGACAACTATATTAGCAATTAGCTGAAAGTCAATCCTACATTCCTTCACAATTGTCCTCTCGCAATTCAAAGCTGCCACCGTTTTTCTCGCTGTAAAATGTAGGGAAAATTGTCCAAAGTTATACCACTAAAAACTGTTGTTACACTATGCTCCCTTTAATGCTTATTTAAACTTTTTGAAAAGGAAAAATTCGCAAGGTGGGAGAACTGGACAGTAGGGCGGATGCGAAAGTGCAGGAATTTGATTTTTTCGCTATATATTCAGCTACGAAACGTGTCGCATGAACAGGCGCATTATTCTGCAATGAGATCCAACCTCTCATCACCAAATCTGGCATTACTGCATAATTCGGTAGCTTAAATTCTACAAAAATTCACCATAAAAGGTTATATCAACAGTCCGGTACGATGATACGAGTTTTTTGTGCATCATACCATGAATAACCAAATATTCTCAAGGATCGTTGAAAGGCCGAAACCATTCATATATGCCTATGATAAGTATGTGGTTCTGCCCATTTGGATTCGCGGCAGTCTTATTACAATTATGGAGTTCAAAATTAATTTTCGTTATTAAATAGTCGTTTCTTTGCGGAGAGATAACTACACTCACAGATATCCAATGCACGTTTCGAACCCGGGCTGAACGAAGTTTGCATTCCGCTCCCACTAACCAATTTTTCTCTCTTGCGTAGGATGATATTTCATAATGTGATAATGAGTACAAGAAATGTGAAACGGATAATACAATATGAAGGATATGAGAAGAAATCTATAATATGTTGACATTAATAAGTGGTTAGATGTCGATGTTAATAATATTAGATACCAAATTTGAATAACGATAAAACTACATCATGTATTCAAAACGAAACGAAAGCTCTACCTATGTTATTAAGTTATAAAGAATCTTTTGTTTGCACGTACGTATGTATATTATTCCTTCCACTGTGGGAACACGTCGGCCACCTACAGCCCCTAAGTTTAGATACGTAGTTCACTATGAGACCATGTGCACCTCAAAGCCAGAATTATGAATTTCGAATTATTTATTAGTCAAAAGGTGCGTTACCCCAGAAGGACTATTAGCCTCGAAACGGCATTTTGCGTCGAATCACTTAATAGCGTTGAATCATGCTTCACATTGTTGCCACCGAATATTATCTATTATAAATATTATATTTAAAGATATTAAACAATAAAGAATCTGCATGAATGTATGCATGTTTCTCGCATTTTGAAAAAACAACGGTACGTAAATTCGCAAGGTTCGCATCCAATTCTGAATAACGTAGTCCTCCACCCGAATATGGGCCCCTGGAAGCCAGAATTTTGAATTTCGAATTTGTTTTATTTTCTGTTTCATATATCGTTAAACTTTAACAAATTTTGATAAAACACTCAAAGATTTTAAAGCGAGCAGTGGCAACACTGTACTGAATAAAACATTTCTACTGTCTGTCGCAAATTCTAAAAATATGCTGTTTTTAAATAAAATTTCGAAACGCGTATGTGTGTTCAAATGGGAAAAAAAAACGCCCTTTTGAGCGTAATATAAAATCTGAAGGCTTTCAGATTTTATTTATTTATTTGATGTTTTCTGCAAATTAAATTCAATTTTGATTGATAAACTCAGCGATTTAAAATGCAATATTTATTTCGTATTTGTAAGAATAATTACTATATCGCGATCTTGTGTGAATAATTTCTTAGGAACAGATATTTTCCGACCATAAATAGATTTAAAAAAAAAACCACTACTGCATTTTGCAGTTTGACAATTCATCTAGCGAGTAATCTCACAAAATGTTGTGAAATATCGACTTGTTGGCCCACCAGCGGCGGAGCGGTAAAAGCCATTGAACACTGGTAGTCTGGTCCAGGGTAAGAGTCATGGCGAACGGGTTTGGATGCATGGGCTTTTTTGTAGTTTTTCCCAATGTGTAACGTCGATACGAACCAATTTCCCATAAAAAGACCTCCATAGGCCAGGCGGAGGATGGCGGTGGAGTACGTAATAAGTAACTTTTAAACGGCGGAGTACGTAAAAAGTTTAAAAAAAAAAAAAAAAAAAAATAGCGATTTTTTGAAGATGAAGTTGCGGACAATTAGACGATACATAAGTGGTTTGTTTGTACGAATTTTTAGACGGAAAAAACTTATGTTATGGAACAAATATTACAAATCACACTTACTGTCATTTGCATCAATTAACAAGAATTATTTTGTCCTTATTAGTGATGTCTCTATAATCTTTCATAAAACACGAGAAAATAATTTATTTCGCGCAGTTTAATGGCTTTTTAATAATAAATTTGTAATTTAAATATGTAAAATTATTTCCTTTGGTTCATTTTACAAAGGGTATGTTCATTTGAAGACGATACCTTTTTTTTTTTATAACAAATCAAAACGTGTATATTTCTATTATTTGTAAATAGATTGCAAATAACAATAAAAACCTATGCCTTGTATACTGATGAGAGAAAAAAAAGTTTACGATAATGTCTAAATTCTATCGAAATTCAAATAAAATCCCGACAGGAATATTTACTAAAAAAATGCAAAAACTAATAAAATAATTGTACTCTCTCGGAAGAATAACAGATTTCGTTATTGACAGTTTTCTAATTTAAATTCCAATACAAAGTCGATAGTAATCATCAAGATATTTTGTAAATATAATTAAAACATTTGTAAAGTACGGATGCGGATCAAAGATAATAAATAAACTTCAGATTAAAAAAAATCAGATGATTTCAGTGCTAAGTAGTATTTCATGTTAAAAATTATGAACACTTTTACAAATGCATATCATTTAGCGTTTCAGCAACAATCACTTGGTGATTTACAAAAAGAATGATCGTTTTCTAATTGAAAAAATATCAGACAACCACGGCTGACTTAGCGCTGCGGTTAAAGGAAATTTGGAATTTAAATGC